TGTGTGTGTGTGTGTGTGTGTGTGTGTGTGTGTGTGTGGCTAGAGATTGCTGAGAGTCCACAAAACGACAAATCATGCAAAATAATATATTTCTTACCAGGCTGCCTTGCAGAATCCTTGGCCTCTCCAGAGCCACAGTGATGCAGTTGAGGAAGATAAAGACCAAGACCACATAGTCAAAGAGCTTATGAGCAATAATGGACTGACAGAGAAGTCTGAACCTGACAAGAGGGAGAGACAAACAGGAGGCAGAAGACAGCTGAATATACACAGTGTGATGTAAAATAAAATATTTCAMAAGGAAAGCTTTTATTTGTAGAAGCCTACAACCATTGCTTGGATTCTATAATATTATGTTTAAAAACTGTTTTCTTTTCGCTTTAATTTCTTACATGTCACCAAAAACTCGAGAAAATGAGAGGATAGCAAACTTTTGTCCAATTATGGAGTGCTTTGTTAGCACGCTTAGGTTCACTTTCTACAGAGCAGGGAATTTACAGTTTGGCCCTTAGAGGAAGAAATTATTAACTTGCACAAATCTTTGAACCAAGAGGCCTGATTTGGAGACAGCTGAAAAAATACAGGGCATTAAACACAGTTGAGATTCATTCTACAAGTGTTGCTTTTAAACATTTACTTTAGACTTTCTCCTCTAGATTTTTTTTTATCTCGCAAAAGTTGAGCTGGTGGTGATGGTGAAATTGTAGAGATATCTATAATATATACTAATAAAAATAGAAATACTATTTTCATAGTAAATAGCTGTACATCAAGAAGGCTGCTGCCATGCAAACAGACAACAATAAACTTAGATCCTTGGTATTTGCACAGGTGTGGATTTGAAAGCTCCAGGGTAAATAAGTTCAGTAAGCATTTCCTCTGAAATCCTTACAGATTTCATCAAATCTCATCTGTTTGTCCAACTATCAATGGAACAAAATATATCTACAGCTGCACTTGCTCTTCATCTGAAGAAATCGATTAGCTAATCTGGCTGTCATTTCCTTCAGACCTTGATATGCTGTCCCTTTATCTRTCAATTCAGTTTGAGCCGTCTTACACACTTGTATTGATCACAACAAAAGCCTTAGAAGGCCAACGTATGTCTTCCACCTGATCTAAAACTTSTGAAGTTTTCTTCTTTTAGTTTCCCTCGTTTGCTTTCTGTGCTTTAATTGTGCCTAGGTARAGGGTATTTAGCATGACACACACACATATGGCTCCAGGCATATTAAGTGGAACAGGGTATAAACAAGGCAGGGAAGTACATATGCTCACACACTCCCACACTCGCATATGCATAGCCCTCCAAACACATGTACAAACGCACAACATAATATTACCAGAGATTCGGCCCAACGTGAGCACACACTTTCACACACACACACACACAAAACTCCTGCTTGACAGATGGCACCTGCCCGTGTGCCAAAGCATAGTCCTGAGGCCTGGCTTCCCTTAAGTGGCTATCAGCACGCAGGGAATCGGGTGAGTGAGCGAGGGAATGACTTAGTGATTTTTCTTTCTTGCTTGCTTTCAGGGGAGTTTTCACCAGTAATGAATGAAGAGCACAACATAACACAGAAGAGCTACTTTTTTCTGTCTGAAGAGAGAGAGAGAGAAAAAACAAAAAGAAAACAAATGCCATGGTAAAAGAAAACAGCGTCATCATTTTGTTAAGGCATTTGTGTTTGCTTGGTGTGAACTGACAAATTGTGCAGAAAGTCTTTTCTTTCATGCTACACATACAGACTCAACAATCCCAAACGGGGGCTTTTTTCCAGGAATTTGTTCTTTGTTTCACTCCCATCTTTTGGTGTCTTTGCATTTCAGTGCTGAACCAAAATACATACTTTTTAGAGCCTATTTGTGAGAGAATACAACACAAATGAAGACTCAAATTGTCATAGTGTCTTCCTTCTAGTTGCATTTACAACTCTGGCTCAAATCCACACTAATTTGAACAAAGGTCAGTGGATTTTATTTTTCCCACAGATACTGAAAATGTCCAAATGGTTRAGATTATTATCTGAAGAATCATGTTAACTCAACAGGCAAATGCTTGTTCAGTCACTATGTGTTATTTCAAAGCTGGCTTTAATCTGTTTCAGTTTTTCATAGGTTTAGATTGTTTTAGCCAAATTTTGATGCTTTTTTCTATTTTTAAATAGCTTTTTTCTGATTGAAATGTTTGTGTTTCTCAGCAAATTGACATTTAATGTTGAAACTTTGCATTTAATACATTTAGTTTATTATTTATTGTTTGCATATTCTCCCAGTTTCGCTTAGGTTAGGATGGTTAGGATACTGCTTTTGCATATTCCCAAACACTGGGTTCTAGTTTCTTAATATTCATGTATATAAGCTTAAGCGCTAATGACTTAATGAATAATAATTAAATAGAAATTTTAAAAATGTAAAAAAAGTTGATAGTTTTCCACAATTGTATAAATGCATAAAATATTAAAGTATCTAATCTAAGAAAAAAATATTTAACTACTTAACTAAAGATGTAGTTTGGAACTAACACATATAAACTTCACTTTAAAAAATGAATCCATTTGTTGTGGTCTAGATGAAAAGATGGTGCTAGGAGAGTTTTGTTTTTACAAAAATCATATTATCACCAGATTTAAATGAACAAGTTTTAAAGCACACTTTTTTTCCTTTGAAAATCTACTTCATCTTTTGTTATGACATGCAAAGAATTATGAAGATATGTACACACTTGTTCTGGGGGGAGAAGAAATAGACAGACCAGTCCTCTCTGGTCTCACACCAGTCTGGCTTGTACACCTCCATCATCTTCTGGATACGGAAGCACCAACTCTTCAGTGGAGAGATGGAAAAAAAAAGTTAAAACATGTAATAAAATCAGCATCATCAGGTAAAAAACGAATTTGCAGTTTAAACATGCATAGTTTGTTGACTTTTGTTAAAGTCCTAAACTATTTTAAAAAATAAATTTATCACAGAAAAAACGTGATAATATTTAAGTTAAAAAAATTCAGTCCATATAAAAAAWTTTCTTTGAATATTTGACACTAAATGACACTAAAGACTCTTCACTTCAGATCTTTTTTTGTTTGTTTGTTAAAACTGTACCATTTCCACAATAAAAAGGCCCCAGAGACGTATYTACAACTCACATAATCTGTTTCTTCATCGAGATCCGCTCTGTCCTTGCGTGCATTGACTTGAGGGAAAACGTCAGTTATCAGGCGAGTGTGGTGGCCTGGAGCCTTGCCGTTACAGTCACGGTGACCCACTCCCAAACTGCTACCAGTTCCAGACCCCGCTGTAAGGGAACCCCCAGCCCCAGACCCACTCCTCCTAGCTGGTTCTGGAATCTGAATGGGCGGCTGCCCTGAGGGCGGCCCCCCTGTGCGGAGCAACTCAGGGAGCTCCAGGGAAAGAGCTCGTCGATCCCTTCTCACACCAAAATGCCTGGAGCGGAAAAGCGGGGGCGGGGGTGGATGATGAAGGGGAGGAGGATGACGGGAGTGGAAAGGATGAGACAGAAGGGACTCCTGCTCCGAAGCATAGTTGTAGGAGTAGGGGGAGCGGACACGAAGGCTGCCTCCAATTGGAGGAGCCCCACCAAAGCCGTAACTCCGCCGACCAAGGCTGTTGGAGCTCGACCTGCAACACAAACATTTCAAAGTTCAATTAAAAGTTAATAAATATTTACAACAACTTCTGAAGTATAAATAAATGAAAAATAAAATCAACAACATTTTGTGCATTGAGCATTCTGCCATGAGAATTGTGTTCAGTGGTTTAGTGGGTGTATCTATATGTAGTAACTGTCCCTTTAAAGCTAGATTTATACTTGACGYGTCGTACTGGGCGCCAGGGTGCACATGTCAAAAGTGACGCAATATTGCCATCCCTGCCCTTTGGCCCCGTGCATCGTTTTGGCGCATGTCATGCACCTCCRATTTTTTGAAACTCTGCAAAGGTTAGTGCACGCGCCGTTGACGACGACCTCAGAGTTGTGATATAATGGAAGAGTTTAGCTGACTGTCTGGTGCATTTTCATGTGGCTAGGGCAGTACGAGAATAATAAGGACATAAAACAACATAGCAGACTTGATTTCATTGTGGTCTATTAAGACTTAATGAARTTGTAAAGAATTTATAGGGTTCATAGCTGAAAATAATTAGTGGTTAAAAATAATCAATACCTGCGACTCCACCCAGACTGTGGAGGAAAAGGTCGTCCCCAGTTGTGGTAGTTCGAACTGCGACCATGGCGCTACAACAGACAAAAAACATTCAGAAAACTGAAGTTTCAAACATTATACACAGCTCAAAAGCTGAAACTAAACCAAGCTTGTTTATAACATATAAGATTAAATCCATACATTATAGCTGGTTCTGATATACTGAATTGATGTCGACTACAGAGTTCACTTGAGTCAAATGAAAAGAAAACACTAATATTTATTAAATTTTATGAAACTAAATACATTTATTTATTTTGTATCATTTAAGGGTGTGTATTCTAATTGGATTTTTAGAATTTATTTAAATCACCCCATACAAAATCAGTCCAAAACCATAAGAAAATACATTTGAGGTTATTCTTAGAAACAGATAATACAGCAGATTACAGCAAAGCTGTTTGATCCCTAAACAAAAAGATTTTTGAACTCCACTTGTGCACCAGTTTTCAGCTCTTTATCGAAAAATAGATCATGTTTCTGCTGTTGTTCGACACAGACAAAACACATCAAGAGCAAACCCATTATACTGAGCAGAACTCTGATTGTATCTCAGCACTGTATCAAAYTGAGTCCAATCAACAATAAATAATCAGCAGAGAGAGAAAGGAAAAAAAAAACATGCACAGCTAAACACTGAGCTGCTTCATAGCCTGAAGGGTGATTTCATCAAAAGATGTACAGGCACAAAAAGGCTCCTTACAAAACCAGCAAAAAATAAAAAATAAAAAAATAATAAGGGAGGACTTTGCAAATAACACTTTTGAATAGCCTTTAGTGCAAGGTAATGGTACCAGTGCCTTTTTAGCGACAAACTTGAAGTACTTTGCCAGAAGAGGTGGATGAGACCTCATACTGAAGTGGATCTCACACCCGCCTTGTGTTTAACACGATAACCTCTGTGGTACACACTTTTGTTAAACTGCAGCTTATCATCTCGCTGCTGGTTAGTCCACTCCCATCTTCCTGTTTCCTCACCAGCCTCCTCATCCCTCTGCCTCATCATCATATCTCTGTTGTTCTCCTCGCTACCTCTCCCTGCCATTTCTCCTATCTACTGTACTTCACCCACAGTTTCTCTGGGGATGAAAATAGGAGAGGGACAGTCAATTAATAGACGCTGCCATGACAACAGTTTACTGAGCCAAATCATTTAGATCTTTCACAGTTTTCCTCTTATACAGTTTTTTGGGTTAAATTACTGTGGAAAAAAACACACTGTGAACACATACAAAATGCTGTGTTTGTCATTTAAATATTGGATGTGTGTTTTCTAATGATGAAGTCATAAAGCTGTAATAGCAAAATTATATATACATCTGCAGTGATTTAACACTTCAATATGAGATTTGGCAAAATGGACATGTTGCAAATCAATGACGTTTGCTTTATGTTGTGAAAATGTGCTTAGCTTCTCATTAACACTTAAGTACAAATTCATCTTCTGGTCACTGCAAAAGTCCCCCTTTAGCAGTAACAAAGTTAAGATAAAATCTTGTTTCACACTCAAATGCGACTGCAATGAACTCAATTACATGTTCACTATGACAAATGACGCGTGTGCAAGTGTGTCTGTGGATGACAAGGTGACAGAGTACCAGAGAAAGAGAGCGTCTCTCCAGGCTGGTCTTGCCGAGGCTCATCACGCTGCTTTTTCTGGACTCATCAGTGAAGCTTCTCTTTTCTGAAGAGTAGGATCCCCGGGGGCCTGAGAGGGCTCCGAGCTCCACGTGGCCATTTGGTGTTAATGTACAGATCCTGGGATCTAAAGGCAATTGAATAAAGTGAACCATGAGTGTATATATACTACGTATATATATATTTTTTTCTTTTTTTTTTCTTTTTTTGCAGTGGTGGGCAGTGCTAATTCAAAAATTAGCTCTGCGATGTATAAAGCGCTTATGAAATTATTCAGGCCTGCAACTTTAAAAGCGCTTATGCAATTGAAATATTAGTGGAAGCTAATTTTAAAGCACAGGTTCAATTTGACACATACATACATACCTACCTACTAGCTGTCTACAATTTATGTACAATATATGTACACTGCTTCCCACTAGTGGTGTATGAATCCTTGTACAGCTCATTTTACAACTGTCGATTGCTGCGGATCTGATTTCCTGTAACAGAACTTTGGCTCCTGATGTAAAATTTAAAACTTGTTGAGGCTTGCTAGTTTGGCTTATTCTTTAAAAAGTTGCTGAGGATTGCTAGTCAAACAACTACCTTACATTATTTTGGGATGAGAAAGAGTTGAGCACAGAAAACTAGATATGCATGCAAATTGTGAGGCACTTTGTTTGGTTGAAGAAGTAACAAAAATCTTTTCTCTGAGCTGAGATATTATAGACTTGCAGGGTGAAATTATTTGAAGCACCTGACAGCAGTTTAAAACAGCAAGTTAGTGTGTCAAGTAGGGTGAACTGAATATGTGCTGCAAAACCCAGCCCAAATATACTGTACAATATTATATTATTTAAAGAAACCCAGTGAGAGGGTATGTGAGTGTGGATGCTTTAGCATGTGATGACCCTTGAACTAGAACAGCTACTGGATGTAGCTTTTGGATAAATATTACTTTTAAAATTATTATTTTTTTTATTTACCATTATTTAACCAGGAAAGTCCCGTTGAGATTACAGATCTCTTTTTCAAGGGAGGCCTGGGCCTGAAGGCAACCTATTGTACATATTTTATTTATATTTATACATACACACTGCTGGTGATATATACATACATACATGCATACTGTACATTCATACATACATACATACTCTACATACATACATACATACATACATACATACATACATACATACATACATACATACATACATACATACATACATACATACATACAT